GGCTGGACTGCAGTTTCAACCTCGCCTAGGTCTTATCAACACCCCCAGGGAGACTCGAACCATGACAGCCACATTACCACGAGTGCCCTTGGGTCAAAAGGCAGATGCGCATTTCAAGGAGGGCCAGGCATTTTTCCATATCACATTCTTTGGTACGAGTGTCGATGAAGCTGTGACACTTACGGAGAATCAACTAAACTACTAATTTTTCTTTTGTAAGTACAGATTCGAGACTGAAGAATGTGTCATTATTTTCAGTCTTTAAATCGGTATTGGTGACCAAAATTGACTAATTCCTCATCCCTACTTCCCGATGTTTTATCTTTCACATGTTATGCGAGGAAAATCATGTTCTTGCTCATCAATGAGTATCTGATAAAGCATTCATAAAGTTGTCTTGCGTGTTTGCAGATACGAGTTGGCTGACCGTGAATAAGCCTCACGTTGAGGGCATATAAGGAATGATGTCAGAGAGACTGATCTCATAGAAGAATCACCAATAAATTGATCCTTTGATGTTTAGTCTGAAGGCTATCCTTCAAATCCAATTCCTAAGCCCTCTACCCTACCATTAATAGTGTTTAACTCATCACTTTATTCACACCTCCATTTTACCTCTGTACTACTTCTCGTTCAAATCCGAAGCAAGATGAAATAGGCCATCATTTTCTCATTATATCACTACAAACTTTCTAACAAGTGACAATCATGAGGCCGGTGCACTCTGGTTTGTACAATATCACTATAATAATGTTTTACATATTCGGGTAACTTGAAAGAATGTACCATCCTCCAAGTGACTTTCGAACGAAGTTCATGAGATTAGGAAGTGTTCGACGATGCAATAATGGTGCAAGTACTAGCAGAAACTAAGATTAAAAAAAATTAGTATCATTAAACTTAACCACTTAGGCACTAGGCATTTTAGCTTTGTTTTGAGCACCTTTATAATGACAACCTTGAAGTCGGGAAAAAAATTGACCTTTTAATTCGCTTTTTATTATATCAATTTGACCAGATAATCTGCCGATTAACATGTTCTCATGGACTCCTCTTCTTTCCTTCTTTCTTCTTATCCTGTAGATACTATTACGTCAGGAACATTCTAGAAAAAGTCAGTGGCTCGCGGTTGGCCTATCGGTTCATACACAGACCCGTGCCAGAACACTCCGACAGAGATTTTTCGACTCCCCTAGAAGAAACTGCACTTCATTAAGAAAGACAAGGAAGCCCGAATTAATCTAACTAGTGGGACCGTATCGCCCCCAATGTATTTTAATATTTTCTGCCCCAATGCGGCAAATTCTTCACGCCCGAGTTTCCAAAGCAACTTGTCGTTACGTTGAATAATGCCGAAACGAGGCGATTTAAAACCCTTTCCTTAAACCCGTCTAGCTTTTGTAGAATTTCCCCCAAAAGTCCATTTTATTTATCCTACATATTATCTTTTACTGGTTTACATGATCGAGTTAAGATGATTTCCTCGAAAAGTGAGACTTCCTTGTCCAGATGCTGTGCCTTTTCGCATTTCACAAGGGCATGCATACTTCCAGACGACTTGGACTAATTCTGATTGTGCCTCGAATTTTTGTATCCTCAAGACCTTGCGATTGAAATGTGAGAGCGCTTCCTGCTAGATGCGAAGAAAAATTGGGTTTTGAAGATTCCCTTAATGATTTATAGTGACACGACTTTTATTTCAAGTAAAATTAGATTGAAGGAAATCGGTTTATCGGTCTTATTGGAAAACGAATGAGGATTGCCTTGGAATGAAGACTGTTGGAAACTGCGAGGAAGTCTTCGGCACACCAACCTTTGACCTCGAAGGACCCTTGCTAAACTTTAGTCTGTCATTTGACAGACTTCGTGGGGAGAAACTATAGGTTATACAATACAATAAGCTTATTGTATTTAATAATTTTACTTGCAGATTTTGGTTTCGTGCCCTAACCATGTCTGTCACGATGGTGCAGAGAAATATTTAGCACGGGCTCATCGGAGTCTCTGATACTTTGTTTGTACAATTCAAAAGTTTTTATTCTGAAAGCAATCCTCTTGCGTTTTAGGGCATTAGCAACTAACGAATTCCTTCTAACCAATATTTCCTTTAAGATGACATTTTAGGTCAAAAATCAGTTTGAAAGCAACATCCAACTTTTTTCTACAAGTTACCAAAGAACAAATGCAAACAGTCACGCATATGGACCTTCAAAGCCTTTGAAGCAAGTATGACCAAACATGACTTTTCAAGGCAAAGAGATCACATTATTTGAGATGTATTCACCATATTTCGTTTGTGCTGATAAAGGGACTGACACTTGACCTTACGTCTCTATTGAATGCAACATAGCCTTGCTTCCGAAAAGGCATTTTCATCCAGACTGGACTGGACTGCAGTTCCAATCTCGCTCAGGTCTCATCAGCACCTACAGCGGGACTCGAACCATGACGTTGCAGCGTATAATCTTAACACGTTGGCCACTACGCCTCATTGTCATGAATGCCCTTGCGTCACAGGGCAGATGTGCATTTCAAGCAAGGCCGAGCATTTTTTCACATAACATTTTGCGATGAGTTTGTCGATGAAGCAAAATTGTATCATCCACAGCAATCGATTACTTTACTTATTTTTCGTTTATTAAGTAGGTTCTCGAGTGCACCAGTAGAGCATATTATGTGACATGTGCCCACCCTACTTCGGTTAAGTTGGCAAGAGCTTAACGTGTTGAGATTAAGCACTGCACTGCCATGGTTCGGTTCCCGCTGGGAGTGTCCACCGCTGCAGTCCGCACTGGATAGGCATACCTTTTGGGAAAGCAGAGCTATGTGAAATTTAGTATAAAGGTGGGAAATATTCAACCTTCAGTCGTCTCATCACTTCAGACGAAATAGGTTGAATACACCGCATATATATGATCTGCTGGTTCTCTCGAAAGCTCACGCATAAAAACGAATAATAAGGAGATCAAAGTCCAACAAGCCCATTTAGCGTCACCAACGTCATGGCCAACCGCTGGTCTTGGTTGTGGAACAAATCGGTTTGCATTCGGTAGATTCATTCAACCTTTAACCACAAGAACTACCCGTTTCCAGCTCGCTTTGATGAAAGAGGCATGGAAGGAAAGCATAGATGAATCGCTTATGACTGGCACTTATGTCCCACTAAGTATACGCCTGCATGCACGTTCGCGAGCATAATCTATTCATCCACTTTTTTCGGCTAATAACACTTGTCTAACAGTCTACTGATTAGACCAAGTGAGTAGTGGAGTTCTTGAACCGTGTTCGCTGTTGATCGATAACGGAAGCAGCCGTTCTGATTGGTTGAACTGTTCTTGTCATTCGGGCCACTGACGGATGCCTCGCCCGAGTGTGCCCAGCCCGACGCACTACAACGCTCCAGTTGACGAATGCCAAAAGTGCAATTCTTTTCCCATTTTACCCTCGAAGCAATCGCCATGGTCAAGGCAACAATGTCACCTTCTATCTGCCCACTTGAGGTGTACGGGTTGACCATGCCTGGGCCGGGCTTGTCAACTCCAAAGTCCGTCCAGTTGAGAATTTGCCCCCTGGACCCTTGTCTTCGTGCGTTGTGGCTCTGTAGTCAAGGCGTCCTGGCCACTTCAAGTAGCATCGCTACTGCAACAAGGGGAAGATGCGGTAGCAAGGAGATAGGCCTTTGGTTTGGCAGCTTAACGCTGAGGGTGTAGATCAACGCCCTCTGCAAATCAGGCTGTTATAATGTTTTGTGCTCATGTGGTAGTGCTTATGTTGGAGATACTTGTCGACCCATAAACGAGGGGCTATCAGAACACAGAACCACCTGCAACGGTTTATGGAATCAGAGATAGGAGGTGGCTGAACCTGTGGTCACTACAGGACACTAGAT